AAGCAAGCTGCGAGGCCTTACTTCCTGGTCCGCCGGTAATCCAGTACTTTTTGCCATCCGGGCAATCGTAGTACGTGCCTGAATCTGCTGGGCCGCAACCATTTCCGATACTGTTGCTGTTAGAATCGGGGTTTTCAAGAGTAAGGTAGATAGCTTACCAAGTCGCGATATAGTACGAGCATCCCTCGCACTGTGGATTTTCCTTCCCGCAAGATATTCCGTATGATGAGACCGTTTCAGTTGCGGTATTTTCGATGGCTGTCGTGGTGGGGCTCACGCAAAGTGAGACTCCATCGGGCTGGTATGCAGAGGATGCTGATTTGTATGCATCGTCTGGCACATCGGTCGGATTGAGAAGCGCAGATACAGTGGTGTAGTAGTTGGTGAATGTCGTTAAGATCTCGGACACTGAGTAGCTACTCGTCGAAGTCGAAACAGTGATTGGCGTGAGATGTGGTTGCACTGGACTCGGTACAGAGATGGGTACTTCTGTCGCAAACTTCCATTTACTCTTGCAAGTGGTGAATGGTTCATAGGTGACGGGTACGTAGAAGTCTGTCACCACACCGTCGTCGCCCCCAAAACTCGGCGAGATGGTAGAACCAGCTCCTGAAGGGAGGACTATCTCAACAATATTCACGTCTGAGTATCCACTCGTTGTTGTCAATGTGGAAAGTCCAGAGGGCGCTACAGTCCCAGTTGGGCTGATGAAGTCGGTCCAGCTGTATGTTGTTCCTGATTGCGTGTCGCCTGGATTAGTCCCGATGCCAGAGCTGGTGTATCCAGTATATACGGAAATATCGATTTGGACATAGCTAGTCACTACCCAAGGAGCCGCATATACGGATAAAGATTTAAAAAGTAAGATTGAAGCGAATTGTAGAATCATTGTCGCGACCTTCAGCGCTGTACGCCACTGGAACGACGTCGACTTATCGCCTCCAGATGCGAAGAAGGGGCTTGGCGTTGAAATGAGATCTTCTTAAACCTTTGGACTGAGAGGAAGGCTCTCCCGTACAACGAAGTACGGGTCATATTCCATGTATGACGGGTTCATGTTGCACCGCAGGATCGCTCAACAACCAGGAACTCTGCTCTCGTGGCCTATCGCCAAGATCTGCTAAGCGAGTGTGGCTTGAGAAACATGGTTATCACTTGCTCCGAATGGTTGCATAAGATTGTGATATTCCCGTTTTGAAAAGGGGAGGATTCAATCCCCTGCTGTGGCTTTTTCAAGTGGTGCTCAGCGTTCAGCTCCCTTTCGCTAAATTTAAGCCTTCAGTTAAGCATTCAGCCTGGGCCCACCAGTCGAGATGCCAGGGGTCCATTTGAACACTCTCCTCGGGGATGCACTCTCTTTGGTAGCATGAGAGATGAAAATCAATAACTGAAATAGGGCATCTTTACCCATCTACCTTCCATCCTCCGGGCATCAAGTCCGTGTACACATTGAAAGGATCGTACTTTGCACGGATCGCCTTCAACTTTACAAGATTCCCAGGCCCATAATTCTGGAAGATCTGCTGTCCCAAACCCGCATCGTTCATGTATTTGTATTTCGCTGCTTGACCAGCTGCTTCGAGTTTCCCCTCGATCACGGCTGTCACTTCAACCGCGAAAGCGAATATTCTATCATCGTCTGCAGAATCTGTCCATGAGAAGTTTTCGACCATCCCTATGGATCGTTAATGTCCGTTTCCAAGCTTCAGCTTAAATGACTTACAAAAGTACGGAGCGCTTTCAAGATCCACCGCTTGGGGATTTCCACCCTTCGAAATTCCTTGCTGGATGAAGTTCCTGGTTACTGGCTGGAAAGCAACACTGGCTTGCAACCCCGTAATGTTCCAAATTTCCGTCGTCACCATCTCGACGAAAGTATCA